GACTAACTGTTCAAAGGAATCCTTAATAAATGTGCTATGTAATACCATTTTTTGACGCTTTTTGATCGACGAAGTCCCTGGTCATCATCGCCTTTAATTTCAATCACTGAACCGGCTGCTTCTTTCTCAAATGTACTGATCTCAAGTCTGCGAAGGCATTACAAAAGGAGAACAAACACGTCAAAAAGATAAAAAATGCTGCAAACAACAACAACAACAACAACAACAACAAAACAAAACAAAAGAAGAAACAAACAAAACAACAACAACAACAGCAAAGAAAAAACGACTAAATTTGTCATTTAGAAATTCAACAGTAACGATAAGGAGAAGCCCATAAGCACCTACAAATTAAAACTTGAGTGTATTATATCCTTTTTTCGCTGCAGGGTTTCTTAACTTATTACTAACCCGAATCCTTTTTCAGCATAATGGTCTGTCGAACGGTGAGGAATGTAGTTTTCATCTCGATAAGTCTTTGAAGGCTCTAAAATAAAGTGAAAGATTAATAAACAGATTAAAATATAAGCGTTCAAGTCAGAGTTTCTTGTAAAAAGTAGTGATGTAACGATAGACACCGTGAAGATGCTGTTACACTGCAATTTTTTTCTCCACAATTTGTTTGGCAACGTGACAAAAGCTGTTGAGAGAGCCCTGTTAAGGCCCGTTTATACTTGCTATGTTTGCTTTTTCAATTATTTCTTGTTTACAATCTCGTATAATGAAAAGGAAAAAGGTAAACAGAAATCATTACTTTAGACACTAAATGGGTAGTGCGTGAGGCCCAGAGTATCAGCGCTTTCGAGCTGTCCCCCACCACGCAAAGAATAGTAATTATATTATACAGCCTATTTACATAAAGAAATAATGGCATTTACACAGTTCTTACCATATTTATTGCGTTTTTTATTACCAGAATCAATAACTGTCGTGAATAGACTCTGAAAATATGAACATAAGTTGGTCAAACCACTACACAGCCATCACGAATAAATTAAAATGGATCCTCGCTATTCCGGTATGGTGACTGCACTAACTGGACAGAAAAGAACAGTTTAGCTAACCGGGATCTAACATTCTGGTCGTTTTAACGTAATGGCCGTATTAAGCGGATGGCCGTAAGGTGGGATTTCATTGTGCATGTACCTGCTTTTTGTTCCAGTTTAGCTAATAGCAAAATAAATGAATAAATGAAAACAGAAAATCTCCTTTGAAGTTTCTGGACAATAGTCTCCTTCACGGTTACCTAACCGTGGCGTACCTAACCGTGAAGAAGACTATTTCTGTCTCAATTTTTTTAAAATACTCTCATTTCCATGGAAAAGTTAGAAATCAATATAGAGAAAGGAAAAGATCCGAGGAGGAATCCAGGTTTTTTGGGGGGTTACCTATTTTCAAGAGATTTCGATTCCAGGGCATTTGAAAGGAGTTGAGAGTATTCAAACACACCTTGACATCGCTGTCATCTGCTAAGTCACATTGTTCAGCTGACTCAAACTGTCTTGTGGTGTCTTTCATCTGTTGTTCATGTTTTCTTTGGTGGGCTTTTTCTATAACTTCTCCGTGTCTTTTACTATTGTGGGAATTTAATGAATCGTAAGGTAATCAATCAATGGGTCTTATCGCTTGTTCAAGAGTGGCACAATGTACCAAAGGAAGACAGAATGATGAGGGCGTTGGGGGTGGGGTTGGGGGTGATTTAAAGGGCTCATAAACTAGAAGCTAGCAGGCAAGCAGAGGCGGTATTTACAACAACAACATTTTTTTTAATTCACATTACACATTAAGTTACAAGTTAAGTTAATAGAAAATGAAGTTGAATAAATAGGAATATGACGTAAGGATTTCTTAATGTTGTGCCTAAAGGCTAAGTAAACTGGTAAGTTTTCTAGTTAGCCTTTAGTAATAAAGTTCAAATTTACGTTTCTGTAGAAATGAAAAAGAGTATTATAGTAGAAACAGATAAAGAATAAGTACGTAATGTAGAAGTATTGTAAGTATAAAGTTGAATTAAGAATTACATAGTCTGCGTAGCCAGGCGTTCCTAGCCACTCCGAGAGAGTTTAGGCCGGAGTAACCAAGAGGGATTTGTTTGTTCCCTTATGGGTTTCTCCGGCCCAAACTCTCTCGGAGCGGCTAGGAACGCCTGGCTACGCAGGCTAATATTTACACCGTGTTTATTGAATACCAATAATCGACATCGGATTTTCTTTTTGAAGGAAAATAACAAAGAATGGAAGGGAAGTAAGTATGTTAGGGAGGAAAGAAAAGATAAGACGAAAGCCAAGGGAGGACGAAAAAAGGAAAGAAACAAGAAAAACCATTCTACATGTAGATGACAGTGGAGAGTTTTAATATGAAAGAAAACCACGTACCGTTTAAGCTTCATCACGTGATGGCCATTGGTTTTGGAGGTTGGACCCACCTCAAAAATCGTCTACATTCATGGATGTTGGAAAGATATGGAACATGTTAATACAGTTAATGCAATAAAGAATTAAAACCCGAAAGAACTCGGAGCATTTGACAGACCCTGGAAACTCACTTAAGTGAATGTGCAGAGTTCACTCGGTTTTAAGGTAGGAGTGTCGCATTAGCCGGTGTATTATAATACAAGAGCTCGTACATGAACGTCAACAAAATTTCCTGAATCTATTCAATTTACCTGACGAGATTTGAAGTTTCGAACTCCTTCGAGAAGCTGTGCCTGTGTGATTGATGACTGGTCCCCGACTGACCCTAGGATTAAAGCAAAGTAACGAGTTAAAGCAAAGAGGTACCATGTTATCTGTAAAAAGTAATGAAACTGAATAGCCGACTTGCGAATTACGCATCAATAGTCACATACAAAGGAATCAAGACGAGACGCCGTGCTAAAGAAAATAGATTTTTCACAAAAAAGCACGGCGCCTCGTCTTGATTCCTTTGTATGTGACTATTGATTCGTAATTCGCAAGTCGGCTATTGCCCTAGTTCATTATGACGTCACATCAAAACATTCTTTTGTTTTAACTTTAAGGATTATGGTCGCCAGAAGGGATCAGARTAGACAATATAAATGGATCCAAATTTCCATTGTATTTGAGCATCGTTTTCCGATGTAAACATACTGTGACGTCATAATGAAATAGGGCAATTGTCATCATTTTTGCCGACATTTTTATACATTGAAACTAGAAAAGCGAAATGTCTGCGAAGGAGGAAGCYAGGATTATGTCACACGGTAACGATGGAAACGGAGGCACAATAAACGGCTCCTTACCTATCACCGGGTGTACTGCTATGGAAGACGTAACCAATTCCTTGGCTCGTTTGACTGATTCTGACGAGGCAACGGGTCTTGAACGTAAATATTGTTTATATGCATTGGTATAAACTCCTTGTAAAGACGCCTGGAATGAAAAAGTAGCTTTTTTATCATATAATTATCTCTGAAATACATTGAGGATATAACATGGTCGATTAGAGATACGAATTTTATCTTCCCGTGTTGAAAATCCCTCACTCGTTTGCTACGGTCACTCGTGAGAAAGTCTTTTCAAAACACGAAGATAAAATCCATATCTCCGCGCGCCCATGCAAAATCCTGTATTTATCAAACGGGAACTATAGTTCTGCCCAACATCTAATAGACAGTCCAATCGCTGAAGTCTTAATATTCCCGTAGWGGCTGMCATCGTTGGTATTGCTAATGAAAAGCAGACYTTTAAWCAACATGATCTTTATTCTTACCAAATCACATGACTGATCATGCGCAGTTCTCAAGAAGTCATCCTCCTCATCCACAATGCTTTGCGGAACACCTCCGAATAAATTTGCCTCTTCACTGGTGGATTCWGTGGTTGCTAGTCTGAGTGGACGACCAAGAAAGAGATGTAGGTCCAACATGTGGGCTACCTAATATCAGAAAAACTTACTTAACGTTATGTGAACGCGCTTTTGAGCGCATCTGATTGCCGCAGGCACTAAACAACGATATATTGGTAGTCCTAATGAAACTTGAAACAACGAAAAATGTAGTAATTTTAATAATTTGATTTGATATCACATCGCTTACCTCATCATTGGCGACTAGAGAATACGCAGTTCCTGTCCTTCCTGCTCTAGCAACTCGACCTGGAGAAAGACGTTTAATTTAAGGAAATTTACTCAAGAGCGCTCTTATTGGTCAGGATCATGCTCTACTTCAATCTCCTTCCCAGGCTCCTATCCTTAAGGGCCGGTCAACACTATGACATAAGCAAAAACCGAAGCAGAAGCTTGTTCACACTTAACACAAGCATGTTCTTCTGCTTATGATGTCCCAGTTCACACTCATAATCTTTCATCATAAGCAGAAACAGAAGCAGAAGAAAATGAAAAAGTTTTCATTTTCCTCTTCTGTGTCTGCTTGTGTTTTCCCGGTTCACACATATAAACTACACTTCTTCTGCTTCTGCTTCTGTCAGTGTGAACCGGCCCTAGGAATGCATGTGTATACAAATCATATTACTTACCAACTCTATGAACAAAAAGCTTTGATTTTGCAGGGAAATGAAAGTTAATAACGTTATCTAACATAGGAATATCGATACCACGAGCCTAAAAGAAGAAGAAGAAAGCATAATAAGTAATGAAGTTTTCAGAGGATTTTTCATGTAATCTTAAATAATCCCTTAAATAATTTTTTTTCAGTTAAGTCAACTCTCTCCTTGCAGACACCGCAGTCACACAGATAACCCGCTATGACCCCCGCGAGCATCATGTTCTAACGTGAAGCAAATGACCCCTAGCGAAAAATACAAAGAAACGACTCAAATACACTCGTCAATACGGACACTAAAGTTCGGTCTCTCAGTAACATCGAGAGTTGACTGCATACTACTGTAGTTTTTACTTAATATAACAATCGAATAGATTTGGAAAATACTTTACGTGCCCATTCTTTGTGATGGCATGGTTGCACATTAACTGACACGCAGAGTTACTAAATCCTACTATAGTCCCTTTACAGCAAACACTCGCAGCAGCTGCCACTTTCTTACGCTGCCCAACGTTTCTGTTAAAAGTGCAGCTCGCCCCCATGTAAGAGAATCCGGAATCCAGTAAAAAAAATAACTTTGGAATCCGGAATCCAGAAATCCAGCAAAAACTTAAAATGCAAAAAACGCATACAATGTTTCGGAATCCGGAAACCAGCGATTGGAATCCGGAATTCTCTGGATTATCTTACATGGGGCGATGTTATGTTAAACATTGTCATTAGGATACTTACTGCGACATCCGTAACAACCATTACCATGGTTTTCTTGTGTTGAAACTTGCTAACGTTGATCGTTCGGGCTGAAAGGATCAAACTGATTATTTGACAGACATATAAAAATAATGCATTACATATCATACTTCTCTGAAAAATCAGGGAAAACTTTAACGTTTGCAAAACAAACATTAGGTAGGCTCCAACTCCTTAAAGCATCGAAGATCACGGACTTCCGCAAGCCCCGTAATACAACAGCTCAGAAATATATGAACATTTGCTCGCATGCAAATCGCGTTCAGACGACATTGGTCAAAAACGCACTGCGCATGCCCACAGCTTTCCCGCCAGTGAGCGCTCGCGTATTGAAATCTGTAAACAAAGCGCCTGGCGATNTCTGAAGGACAGAGCCCAATTATCAATTCTCAATGAAACATTTCTTACCAGCCTTGGCAAAGTCTACAAGAAGTCTTGGTAGTGTGGCAGAGAAAAGTAGAGTTTGTCTGCATGAAAAAAAGGAATTCAATTATTAAACAATTCATCACTTTTTATGCACCAATTTCTATTTTGAACTTTCAACAGCTGGAATTATTATCCAAGAGAAARCTGACAGAGTTATTGAAT